AATTTATTGACATAATTTAATTTAAAAACATTTCAAATCAAAATTTTTTATAAAAGTCTAAATTTTTAATAATTTAAAATTTTAATTCAAAATTCGGACGAATCCACTTTTTTTTTGGAAAAATTTTAATTCTCAAATTTCTAGCAATTATTTGAATTTACGAATTACCTAATTGAAGAATTTTGATTCTTCTTTTGATTTTTAATGGAAAACAATTGAATTTTAAACACATTTTAAGTCAAATTCTCCTCTTTTTTAAAATAATTGAATTCTCAGAAAACTTTTCCTCAAATTATCAAAAATAATTAATTTGGAGAAGAATTTTAGTTAAACTTTTCCAAATTTTTGACATTTTTATTTATCAAAAAACATGTATTTTCCTTGTAATATGTGGCAGTCTCATTTTTCAAAAATAAATCGAGGAATGTCGCCTTTTTGAAAATAATCGAAAAAATTCACTGTCTCCGAGGTCTGAAACTTCACAAAATGAATTAATTATCTTATGACAAATCAAATGGATAATAAAATCAATTAATTAAATAAATAACTAGTTAATGAAAAAGAATTAGCCAATAATTAAAAATAAATTTAAGAAGAGGAATTTCTTTTGTAGAAAGAAATTTAAGAAGATTTTCTTTTATATAGAAAGAAATTTAAGAAGAAGAATTTCTTTTATAAAAATAAATTTTTAAAGAAAAAGAATTTCTTCCATAAAAAGAAATTTTGAAGCAGAAGAATTTCTTTTCTGAAAAGAAATTTTTGAAGAAGAAAAATTTCTTTCATGAAAAGAATTTTATTTTTTTTCAATAAAAATTTTTTCCAATAAAAAATAGAATTCTCACTAATTATATCAATATTTATATTTTAATATCTAAAAAGAAGTAACAATAAGAATAGTAATCACCTAACAACGGAACGAATGTTGTTTCGTCGTCCAGCCAGCAGGTGAAGTTGAATTCTCTGACAACAACAACAATGTTGTTTGTTGTTCTGTGCCTTTTTTCTGCCTGCATTTTTGGCCTGAACTTTACGTTTTCGCGAACGTTTGCAAACTTTTTGTCGATCGAGAAAGAAATTCCCTCGCCAGAGTCTCTCAAAAAATGCCCTACCATCCGCTGGGCCTCGTCCTCTCGCCGTCTTTATTACTTGATTTGTCGCTGCCATTGTCATTGATATTCGCTCGTAATTTCAATTTAATTTATTGATACGATTTTTCTTTATAAATATATTTTTTTTTTATATTATGATAATCGTAATAAATATATTTTTACACTATAATCGTAATAAATATATTTTTATACTGTAATTGTAATAAATATATTTTTATGTTATAATCGTAATAATTATCAATATAAATATCAATATCAATTTCGTATCAATATTAATTTAGTTGTCAATATTAATTTAGTATCATTATCATTTTTATCATTATCATTTTTGTATCATTATCAATTTAGTATAAATATCCATTTAGTATAAATATTAATTGAGTATAAATATCAAATTAATATCAATGTCAATTTAGTATTAACATTAATTTTTTATCATTGTCAATTTTTTTTTCAATGTCAATTTCGTATCAATAGGATTTTTCTATCAGTAACAAATTTAGTATCAAGACAGTGATAAATATCAATATAGTGCTGAATAGTATTAAATATCAATATAAATATCCTGTTGATAAAATAATTACTTTTTCGAATATTTCCCAATTGATAATTAGCAAATCAATTAGGCAATTTATTAGTCCAATTGCAATTTCCATTTCCAATTTAATGAGATTATCGTGATTTATTCATTCCAAGTTTGTTGAAAATTGGTTTTTGTTGTAAATTTGAACTTTACATTGAGGGAGAATTTTCCACTGCGACTGTGAGTGAGAAGTAGAAGGGGATATAATAGTTTCCTTCCTACTTATAGCAGTCTGTCTTTTGTAATATCGTGCCTCTGCTTTCATAAGCTTTCACAATCTTACTAAAAAGCTCAGGCGAAAAAAAACTCTCTATCATGATATCTCACTAGTTCTTTCTACATTTTAACTTTCAATTGTCAAATTATTTCACAAAAAATCTTTTTTTCCTCCTCTTGAAAATTTTTTCTTTATTTTTATTATTTTCTATTTTTAACAAATTTTTTTCTTTGGTGAAAATTTTTCAATGCTCTCGAATTTTCTATTTTTAATAATTTTTTTTTCTGGAGACAATTTTTCAGTGTTTTTTCTGGTGAGAAATTTTCTATTTTCGACAATTTTTCTTTTTTTTTTTTTTGGGCGATAATTTTGCAATGCTCTTGAATTTTCAAATTCTTGATAATATTCTTCAATTATTTTCAGCAATTTTATTTCAGAATCTTTCCAATTCTCGAACTCTTTTCGAATTTCAAATATTTATTCTCGTGAAAATTCTTGGAAATAGTAAAATTATTCGATTCTGATTATTCAAATTCTCGAACTTTTTTGAATTTCAAAAATATTCTCGTGAAAATTATTGGAAATAATAAAAATCTTCGGCTCCAATTTTTCAAATTCTTGAATCACTTTGAATTTCAAAAATTATTCTCGTGAAAATTTTCAAATAGTTTTTCGGCTCCAATTTTTCTAAATTCTCGAATCACTTTGAATTTCAAATATTTATTCTCGTGAAAATTCTTGGAAATTGTAAAATTTTTCGTCTCTGATTTTTCTGAATTCTCGAACTCTTGTGAATTTCAAAAATATTCTCGTGAAAATTGTTGGAAATACTAAAAATCTTCGACACCAATTTTTCAAATTCTCGAATCACTTTGAATTTCAAATATTTATTCTCGTAAAAATTCTTGGAAATAATACAATTTTTCGTCTCTGATTTCTTAAATTCTCAAACTCTTTTGAATTTCAAAAATTCTTGATAAAAATTTTTCGAAACCAATTTTTCAAATTCTCGAATGACTTTGAATTTCAAAAAATTATTCTTGCGAAAATTCTCGCTTAAAATTGTTGGTAATATTTAGATTTATTAAAAATATATTCTTTCTTGATTTTAAAGTTAAATTCTTTTCACAATTTCACAGTTGATATTATCTCGAAATATTGGAAATATTTGGGGGAAAAAAATTCACTTTATGGAATTTATAATTTGTCTCGATTTCTTTTAAATATTTGTGAAAATTTACTATATCTTAATTGGTAGATTAGTAGAAATTACTAATTTTCGTTTGAAAAATTTCTTTTTTTATTCTTTATTTTTTAATGGAAGACGTTGGACCTCAGGCACAATCCAAAAAATTTTTTCTTAAATATCCTTAATTAATATCTTAGTCTAATTACTGGAGACACGTGGATTTAATTCTTTCTCGACTCTTTTATACTCTAGTTGAAAAATTTCCTTTTTTCTCAATTTACAATTTTCTTTTTTATTTTTTCTGCTTCTTTTTTATTTTCTCTGTTTCTTCTTTATTTTCTCTGGCTCTTCTTTATTTTCCCAGCTTCTTCTTTATTTTCTCTGTTCCTTCTTTATTCTCTCTGTTCCTTCTTTATTTTCTCTGTCTCTTCTTTATTTTTTCGGTCCCTCCTTTATTTTCCCAATTTCTTCTTAATTTACCTGTTTATACCATCTTCTCTTCTTGAAATATAAAATCGTCGATTTTGAATTTAGAGCGAATATTCACGCGATTATTTCGATTTTAAAAACTAACTCTATAGATAAATTGTTTAAACACTAATGGAAGACTTGAGTGATTTTGTGAATGACTCGCTTTTGTCGAGAGTGCTACATGATCGGAAGTTGACTAGTTTTTAAACTAGTCGGTTAAATTACGAGAAAAATCTCTGCCACAAGGGCGACGCGTGACGTCGCGACATCGGTCCATTCTCATACTGAGGCAAAATCTCTAATATTCGGAGAGAAGAGAGAAAGAGGAGGGCAAAACCCCCCTTGCCTTACAATAATTTCTCTCGTCGTCCTCCACCATATCATCCCCTTTTTGGGAGAGAAAGCGATTGCTGCTGCCCATCCTCTTTTCTCCTCTTCTCGTTGAGAGGCGCCGGCGCCAAACGAAGTCAATATCTCCCATATGCAACCATCGTCTGTCGTCCCCCCCCCCCGGAGTGCTCGGGGGCGGCAAAAGATGAACATTATTACTTTCGTCAAAATCAATTTCCTTCCATTGCTAAAATAATATTAAATTCTTCCTTTTTTCTTTTAATTATTCAACAAATTTTGTAAATACTCTTTTCAAAATTCTTCTAAATATTCTTTTAAAAAAGCTTCTAAATACACAATTGACTTTACGGAAAATAATTTTTAATAATTTTAATACTTTTGTATTTAAAAAGCTTCTAAAAACTAGTCTTTTAAATACAATTGACTTAAAAAAATAATTTTTATAAATTTTAACACTTTCGTAAATACAAAAACGATATTTTAATTTATAAACAATTTAAACTTTTTTCTTTTCTTTCGGCTAGAAATTTTACACTTAGAGAAACTGAACGAGAATTTACATCTTTAATACGAGAAGGATTTAGACTCGGTGAAAACGAACTACCCGAATTTCGAACTTCGATATTAAAATTCAGAACGAAGGAGAAGCAAAGATTTTAAAATCCAGCATTATTACTTTCTCGGCGGTAAATAAATCATTTTTCTGATTTTCTATTTCAATTCGAAATCGATTTAAGTTAAACAAAAAAAAAATATTTAAAGAGAAAAAGGGGAAAAAGTTTTTAGAAAAATTTTCTGTTTTAAAAGTTTTTTCAAGGTTTGACTGAACGAAATTTTCAAAAATTACTGCAACAAATTGCAATTTAAAAACAAATTTAATATTTAGAAGACTAAATTATTTTCTTTTACAAACGACAAAAGTATTAGGATAAAATTTCAATTTGAAGAAGAAATAAATAAATTTCGTTCATTTGAACGAATTTTAGAAAAGTTGAAGTTTGGTAAAATAAATAAATTTTGGTAAAATTTGAATAAATTATAAAAATGGATAATTGTAATTTTTTTTTTAAATTTACATACGTCACTCGTCCAAATTCGTCTGTCGGTACCGAGGGCCTCTCATCCTTTCCCCTCAGCATTGAACGATAATTTTCCACCTTTTCTTCAATTTCTTTTGCACTGTATCTAGAATATCAGAAAAACAATTCAAATTATTGACAATTATTTGTGAATAATTGCAGGAAAATAAAAAAATTATTGTATTAATTATAATAAATTATATTTTATATTATTAATTATTAAATCACAAAAGAATCGAAAACAAAATAATTTTTGTTATGAAATGTCCCTAAAGTTTCGAGAGTTTAAATAAACGACAATATTTTTAATTACTTTAATTAGAATTTTATTTACATGGAGAAAGATATAGAGAACTACTTTTACTTCAGTAAAATCAAAATTGTCCGGAACTTTTGCGAATTTCCATCAAATATTACTATTTTCAAAGTGAATTTTGCTATTCGCGAAGAATTAATTTTTACTTCGTTGCAACTTTTACACTGAAAATAGTAAAAAATTGCCGAAAATTCGTACAAGTTGTTTGTTTTAATTTCAAAAATAGTTCAAAGTTTGTTTATTCCTTTCCACCGTGTAGAAATAATTAAAAAATTAATTTTTCACTAAATTAATCATCGAATAGAGTAATTTTCATTTTAATCCTGTAAAAAAATGTATAGAAATATTTGAGTACGAAAAAATATTCCTATCTATTCATTTTTCACTAAATAAATCATCAAATAGACTAATTTTAATTTTAATTATTAATTAGTAAATACAATGCAAAGAAAATGTATAAAAATATTGGAGTACGGAAAAATATTCCCATTTAATGACCGTTGAAATTTATGGAAAATGTTTTATGAGAAGAAATAATGAAAATTCTGAAAAGAATTTAATATTTTCAAAATTTAATTTTAAGATAAGGATTTAATAATAGAATTTATTATTTAAGAATAATTTTGATTTTGTAATATTTCTAAATATTAAAATTTGTGTCTAAATTTTTGGAAAATTAAAATTTTTGAACATACCCCTTTTCTTCTAAAATATCTGATAATTCGGTGCATTTTATTTCTATTTTACGTTTTCTGTCGTGATCGAGAATTTCTTTATTCGGTTGTTTACTCGCAGAATCAACTTTTTCTTCGTGTGCTTTATAGGAATCCTTTTCTTTAGTTTTACGAATGACTGCCCAATTTCTCTGGACATGTCCATTTGTTCCAGAACCTCTGGGCGTTTGCAGACCAATGCCATTATACATTTTTATCGATAAATCCTGCAAAAAAAAAGAAAAAGATAAATTCTCCGTCAATTGAGAATTTATTTTCATTCATTCAAGTTTCGATATAAATACCAAGCATTTTGTTTTTAAATTGAAATTCGGAAAATTTTATTCACGTGGCATGAATATTTTTCTTTCTTAAAAACGTGAAAATTTAAACGAAAAATACAAAATAGAATTTAAATAATATTAAAACTTGAATAACTTTAATATTAAAGTTTTTAAACGTTTAAACATTGAACGAATTTTATTTTTAAATATTTATTGCAAAAATATCGCGTCATGTATTAAATTAAATATATAAATGACAAAAAGGATAAATATTTAATTGCGATTTTATCCTTTATCAACTATTTTTCGAAAAATATTTAATTCGACAAAAAATTTCATTCATCCGAATGTTCAAAAATTAATTTTAATATTATTTTTAATTCTATTTTGTATTTTTTGCATAAATTTTCACTTTTAAGAAAAAAAAATATTTATTCTTGCCACGTGAATAAAATTTTCTGAATTTACAAATTTTATTGCTCTTAAAAATTTATATATCTTTACAGATAATAGAAGAAATTTTTTTAATATTATTACGACAGATTAAATGGAAATAAAAAATTTTTTACTGTTATTATTAAAAAAATGAATTCGTTAAAAAAATGTTTTCCATCTTCAAAGATCAAAGTTTTCAATTCGCGTTTCATTAAGAAACAATTTTTGTAAATTTTCCTAAAAAAAGAATTAAATTAACAAACTTTTGGATTAACGAAAACGATTTGCGAAAAAAAGTCGAAAAAATGAAAATTGAAATCACTTTAGTTTATTAATTCACTTACTTTTTGACTAAAATTAGTTTTTCTAATAAAAAATTTTGTGAAAGTGCATAGAAATGAAAATTTTGAAGCATTCGAAGATTTCGAATGTCAGAAAGTCAACCTAACCTCAAAAGACATTAAATGACAATTTTGCGCAATAAACAAAAAAAAATACCAAGTCCCCCTCCCTCAAATTGTGAGTTAAATTAAACTTTAACATTTCTCACAAATTCTATATTTATATGTAAACTTACATCCTTCGAAGGTATATAAAATTGTACAATTAAAAGTGTTAAAAATCGTAGAGCAAAACAACTTGGACTTACGCATCAATGGCTTCAAAAATTTTGACGATCCGCCGGAAAAACAGTTACAAACCAATAACTGTATAATTAAAGAGATTAAAAACTCACATGGCACTACAATTATTATTGCAAATATGAAAATTACACTAGGTTAGTTTCTTTTTAGGATTAAAATATACGCAAAACGCAAAGCAGAGTATCGATCCGGCGTGAGCTGCGCAAACAATGTTTCATTTTCAATACAAAAAATGTAAAACGTCGTCCGTCGTCGCCAGCGGAAGTGAGTCAAATTCCGACATTTTGTTTATTTTCATGGCGGTAAATTCAAACGATCTGAATTATTTTGAATTTACCGCGCTTGAATTGTGTTCCACGCTTGCGCAAAATAAATCAGAGTTTGGAAATATGTGAGAATATACCTGCAGCGCCAAATGAGTTTAAAATATTTTATAAAATAAGAAAAATAAGGTAGGAAATTTGAATAATATAAATAAAATCGAATTAGCGATTAATAATCGAAAATATTAGCTAAGCAGTGTTTTTATTTGTTTATTTGAAAAACTTTCTGTGGGAACTGTGGGAACAAGTGCCTTGAAGTTGGTTGATATAGTGGAAGCAGTGTGACCAACCTTTACGTCTGACGTGTAGGTGTACGGATGGTCACATATCAACAGGGGATTAGTTTTTTACGTTTTTTAGAAAGGACAATGCGACTCAGTGACTGGGGCCGTATTCTCGAAAGCATTCGACAATTCTCGCATGCGTAAAATGTCGAATGGTTAATGTCGCATGCGACTCTGAAAGTCTATTCTCAATGACCGTTCGAGATAGGTTGTTCGAAAATTTCCGTGTGCGACATTCATACATTGTTGCCGTCGTTTCCAAATACTTATCTGCCAATCATAATTGAGGAGGAAGAGAACTTGACATATGAGAAAAATACAAATAGTTATCCGTTCATTTAAATATTTCAAAATCAATTCAATTTTGCGTTTACAATTTTTATAAACAAATTAACTTTAAGCGGTTTCAGTTTGAAATTTTATAAAATTTTAATTTTGAATGAATTTAATTTAAAATTTTGATAATTCAAATTCTTTTGAAATTAGTTATATTTGGCAATAAATATTTAATTAATTATTAAAAATAATGAATTTATAGAAGAATTTTAGTTAAAAACACTAAATACATTGAATTTTGTAGACGTACGTTACAAAATGATTACAAAAATTAAATTATTTTTAAATGTAATAAAATAATGGAAAAATAATAACAATCAAATATTTATTTAAATAGAAGTTACTGATATTATTACGAATAATTTTATAATTAAAGAAATTCGTAAATAAATGTAACAACATTTTTTTTTATATTAAAGTTTTAATATTAGCATTTGTAAATTGAGAATTTTTTACAAAAATGTTAAGAAACTGGAATATGTAATATTTTTTTTTTAAAGAAAAGAATCAGTTTGTGAACAATATTGTTATTGAAAAATTAAAATTATGCATATTAAAGGGATATATCCCTTTATATTATGCATAATTTTAATTAATAAATATATATATTTCCTATTTTTGCAAAAAGAAAATTTATTTGTTAATCAAAATTTTTTATAATTTTAAATTTTATTTTATTTTAAATCTTAAAAAAGAGCATACTTTCAATTTGTAAAACAATATTTTGTAAAGAAAAAAACAAAAGCATACACAAAAACTAACTTTAAAGTGTGAACAGACAGAAAAAATGAAACGAAGATTAAAAAATTAAAAAAATTTATATTGTTTACATGATTCATTCACAAAAATAACACAAACATGTGCAATTTATCCATTATAAATTTTGCATATTATAAATTATTTACATAAACTTTTATTTCACAAGTTTACTTTTAATTCTTAAACAACACATTTAGGTTATTTTGTATATTTTTTCTACTTTAGCATGCGGTTCATGCACACTAATACTAATTTATATTATATACGTTTATTACAAGGATGACACACAACCTTATTTTTTACTAGCATTTCGTATACGACTTTGCATCTCGAATGGCCACTACCCACTCGAGATGAACCATTCGGAAATTATCGCATACGACATGAAATCTCGCATGCGACAAGCGTTCGAGAATAGCTTTTTCCATCTCGAATGGTCTGTCGCATGCGACATCTGGGGTCATCGATTCGAGAATACGGCCCCTGTTCGCCGGCCGAACTGGGCCGAACTGTCGAGTTGTCCTTGTGTTTAGTGCGGGTACAAACAAAAAAAAAAGTTTCATCTGTCAAAAAGTGTATAGTGCATCTTTTTACTTTGCACACATTAAAAGTGTTTTTCATCACAGAAAGTAAAATCTTTACTGACAAAGGATAATATATTTCATCAAAATGAACAACAAAAAGACTGGTAAGTTGTGGAAATTTGTTATTATTCATGTGTCAATGGGGGAAAATCGGGAAAATGACAAAAATTCAATTTTGAGGTTAGGCAAGCAACAATGTTATATATGTATGATAAAGATTTTTTGCAATAAAAAAAGGGGTTTTTTTCAAAATGGTGGATAATTATATTGATAATTACTTCCAGATGGTTTTTTATTAAATTACATTTTTAATTCCTTTGCTTCATTGTTTTTTAATCTTTTTAATTATACAATTTAAACGTGAAAATAGGTCATGAAAAATCATTTTTTGATAATTTGGTTGTTTTGCAAATTTCAATTTTGAAAGTTCATAAATCTCTTTAATTTATAGAATTTTTATTTTATTATCACTTTTTCTACATAAAAACTTTATTAAATATTTAGAATTATACATTTAATTTACATTTTCGAAATTTGAATTAAAGTCTATTTTTGTTCGTAAAATTAAAAAACGGTAAAATATCCAAAAAGAAATCTCATAAAAAGAAGAAGTGTAATTACTTTTTGTTTTATGCGTTTTATGTTAACAATTATATGAACACGTAATAATATAAAAACTGAGACAATAGCAATTAGTAAAACATATTTCCTTTGTTGTCTTTATTGATAAAAGGTAATTTATTCGTATTAAGATTTAATTATATATAAAACCTACTGTTAATAAAATAGATAAAAATAAAATGATAAATCACGTTTTTATTAACTTATAATTTTAATTTATTTTCGAGAATATTTTTTATTTTATTTATTTATTGTAATCAGATATAAGAAGAGATATTTTAATAAATAAATGATTCGCTTGGAAAGAAACTTTGTCTTCCTTTTGTTATAAAAAAGTCTTGAAACAAATACCATATATGCACTTCACTCGAGAAATTCTCAATATAAACTTAACGTATCACATTGAAACAATGAGTCATCTCTATTTATAAACTATTATTCACAAGATTTTGTCAATTTTTCACAACAATTCAAATTTGTTGTTTTTTAATGATCATTTTTTTTTAAAAATGTGTCCCAAAAATGTCTATATAAGTTTTTTTATATTAGTTTTTATTTTAACTCAATATTTGTCTTTTTCGTTTATTTTTTCCTTATTTATTTACTTCTTTATTTAAAAAATATAACAATTTATTATTTATTCAAGAAAGATTAATTATCTTTTTTTCTTTCTTTTTATTTTCATTGATGAATTTAGTAAAAAGAGTTAAATTAAAAAAATATAAAAGACGGTTTAGAACAAAATTTTTCGACACTTTCGAATTGTATATTCTTTTTGTTATCTATTCGAAATTTAACAGCTAAAAAAATATTTGCTAATTTTAATATAACTTTATTCACGAAAAAACAGACGGTGTGGCCTTGATCTGTGTAATCGATATAGACTTAATGTGTGACACAACTATTTTTTTGAAAAAAGTCTAGAATTATCTCACATGTGATAAAATTACAGATAAAGCTATCTTATTTCCTTGTATCATTATTATACTTTCTAATTAAGAATTTTTTTTTTCAATACCTATCCTTTTTTCAATATTTACAAAATAAAAATGTTAAAATATTACTTTTTTTGAAAAAAAATCTATAATTCATATAAATTATTACATTTTTAATTTTTAATTGAAAAAATTCACAACGATTATAATGAATCGAAGTAGAAAAAAATACTTTTCTAAACAAATTTTTATGTTTCGCCTGAAAAATTTATTTGCAAATTATTCTTATTAATTACTTTAAAAAGAAAAAATTTGCGAAAAAAATTTCATTGCTCTCCACGTGTAAAATATGTTTTTCTATTAATTGCTTATAAACGTTGTGTACTCGAGCGATGCAATTTTATTCGTGGGAAATAATCCTATTAATGATTCAATTGTTCAAAATAATATATTCCACTTGTTGCTATATATTTAAAATAATTAATTCTTTTTTGCCAGTAGAACATATTGTGATGACACCAAAATGCAAGACTGCAAATTCAACAACTTTAATGATCGAGAGACAAGAATTGGATGCACCGGCGGAAAATGGTGATGAGAAAAATGTCCATATTGCCGGAGGTGATCACAAAGGGATTGTCATCAATAAACAAGCAGCAAATGGTAGTTAATTAATTTATTGTTCTTGACTCAAAGTATTTTTTGTTTTCTTTTTTTTTTTTTTTTGCTTTTGAAAACACTTTCATTATCATCATAAGAATGGTTTTTTTTATTTTCTCCTTTTTAGAGATGAATGGAATAGGAAATCCCGCACATCTCTGTCTTCAATTTCGAGTGTTTCTCGTGAGTGCACAAACCGGAAAACACACTCAAGAATCGAGAACTTTACAATTTTGGTTTGTAAAAACTCTTCCTGATCAGGAGCAGCCGCACATTGCTCAAGAATTTTTTCGTGAATTGGTCAGTCCTCAGGAATTTCCAAGAGGTGAGTTTTCAAAAAAAATTAAAAATAAAGAAAATTAATTTTGGAAAACAAAATTAAAATTCTTTCCAGAAATTCAATTATTTTCAAAAATTAACAAAAAATTTTAATTATGTTTACACATAGCAAAATTCTTCGTCGAAATTTAGGAAATTTTCGAAATATTCAGGAATTTTTATAAAATTCATTGCAAAATTCAATTATTTTAAAAAATTTTTATTCAATGATTTTCAATATTCCATTTTAATAAAATTTACCAAAAGAATTCAATTATTAAACAAAATTTTTTATGATATTCTACACGAACATTCAATTATTTTCCAAAAAAATTAAAATTTCACAGGAATTCAATTATTTAAAGTAGAATTTGCATAAATTTTTTTCGAAAAAATCAAATGTTTTAAAATTTGGCATTAAATTCTTCGCAGTAATTCAATTATTTTCATAAATTTAAAAATTCTTTTCAGGGATTTAATTATTTTCATAAATATTAAAATTATTTAGAGAAAGTCAATTATTTTCAAAAATTGTTCTAAATTCAATAATTTGTGTATCTATTATTTTAATAAAATTTTCCAAAAGAATTTAATTACATATTTAAAAACAATTTTGATAAAATTCTACGCAAGTATTTAATTACTTTCATAAAGAATAAAAATTTCATAAGAATTCAATTATTTAAAAAAAATGAAATAAAATTCGTTGCAAGAATTCAATTAAATTTCATAAAAAATAAATTTACTTTTTAGAATTTAATTAAATTTCATAAAAATCAAAATTCTTTTTATGAATTCAATTATATTCATAAATAATCGCAGATTTTCAATTATTTTTAGTACCATTTCAATTAAATTAGACAAAATAATTGAATTATTCCTTTAAATTTTCATAAAATTCTTAAAAAAAAAAAATTCAAATATTTACAAAAATTTTAATAAAATCCTTCGCAAGTATTCAATTATTTTCTTAAATAATAAAATTTTTCATAGAAATTCAATTATTTGAAATAATGTAATAAAATTATTTACAAGAATTCAATTACATATTTTCATAACTTTTTAATAAAATTCTTGACAAAATTTTAATGATTTTAAATACAATTTTAATCGAATTTCTCGAAAAATTCTAATTATTCTTAAAAATTTTATTAAAATTCGTCCAAAGAATTCAATTATTTAAAAATTTGTTGATAAAATTATGTATAAAATTGAATTCTCTTAGAATTTTGTAATAAAAATTGATTTAAAAATTAATTTTAGCTCAAGTTTTAGATAATAATTGAATTTTTGAAAAGTTAATAATAAATTTAATAATTTTTAGAAATAATTGAATTTTGTAAATGTTTCAAAATTAAAATCTTTGAAAATTTGAATTTTTCATACTTTTAATAAAAAAAATTCTGTGAAACTAATTTTTTTCAAAAAGCTTAATCGAAAATTTTTGAAAATTATTTCAAATTTTTATTTTAATTGAAGAATTTTCGAATAATCGAAGTTTCACGTAAAATTGAATTTTAAACAAATGGATTTAAAAATTCCGAAAGAACTGTCGAAAATTAAAAATAATTGATTTAAAGAAGAATTTTTATTTAAAAACTGTATAAAATAATAATTGAATTGAAATGATGAATATAATTTTGAAGAAATTGCAGTAACAAAATTTTTATAATATAAAATAATGATTTTATCACTCGGTCATGTTTTACAATAATATTTTTATCAGTTATTGAATTTTAAATTATAATTCTTATATAATTATTAGAATTAGAAATTTTGGAAAACCTAGTTCCCATGGAAAAATAATAATGATTATTTATTTTATTTATAGTGAATCAGAATTTGTTTTAGAGTCAGGGAAAAAGTGAAAATTTTGTTTGGAAATCAGGGAAAAAGAAAATTAAATTTTTGCAGCAACCCTGCAAAAGAAAAAATTGTATTTAAAAAATGTAACTCTGTTCTTTTTTTTTTACAGATTACGTTGGTTTTATAAAAAAAATAATGAAACTGATGCAGCACAAATATCCGACTATTAAAAAATTGGAAGTCGAATTAAAGCAACTTGAAGATCCGATTGATCTTCCAGCACGACCACGTGAGTGTAAAATTGATTTTTCATTTAATTTAATTTCATTGTTCTGTTCATTTGACACATAATTTTCTCATATTGTATCACTCGGATAATAAATTTAATGATTTTGCTGCACCATATATAGAACTCTCACTGTAATTTTGTCATTTTCAAGAGTGTTGATAGAGAGTTTATGATGGTTAAGCAACTTCATCCTCATGTCTCTTAGAAAGCTGGTTCGTCTCTCTAATTAAATTAGGCCCATTGGACTAAATTGCTCGTTCATTTAATCGTCAGTTTCAATGTATATTCGTCTCAAGAGTGAATTAAGCAAATCGAATTGAAATCTTAGATGTGAATTGATATTCACATCTTCCTTTTTTTTACTATAAAGTAATTTTATTAAAAAACTTTCTTAAAGAATAATTATTTAATTTCTTTATAAGAAAAATTTAATCTCAAAAACAATTTTTCCGAAATTTTTCCAAATTTCCAAATTTCTTCTTGATTGATGATTGCAATTTGAATAGTAATTGAAATCACGAATTGAAGTTCGAAAGAATAAATTTTTTTCTCTAATTGAAAATTAATTTGTTTAAGTTGAAATTTGATTGAAATATTAAAATTAATTGGCAAGTAAAAAAATATTTAGTTTTCGATTCGGAAAAAAAAAAAAACGGTTGACCTTAATAGTTGACTCAATTTCTACAATGTGTGACAATGTCAATTAAATGGGTTCACACTTTTCCTTACATAACAGTTAATTGAGTCGTTTGAACTTGTCCCCTTTTTTCTAAAAATGTTCAAGATTAATGAGCGCAATTTTCTATCTGCACTGTCATCATCCTCATCATCATTTTTCAGGTCTCGAACATCGAGAATAAATTTAATCTAAATTTATTTCAATTTTTTCTGATTTCCTTAAAATTTCTTTAAAAAAAAAATTGTTTAAAATTATTAAAAATCGATTGAAAAACAGTTCGAGGCTTGTTTTTTCAGCTCATCTCTTCTGTTTCATTTTTTCGTCATCATCAAAAAAAAAAAAAAAGGGAGAAAAATATTCATATAGGTTATTCGTATTATTCACAGCTCGAAGTGGTCATATAATCTTCACACTTCCTCAACGTGAGAAATCAATGTGGGAATCAGGTTCGGCCAATAGTATAAAAAAAAATTTCAGCATTCTTTGGCCATGTTTTGTTGTCTTTTTTTTAACCATTTACAGGATGATTGTCATTTACTCCAAAAACAAAAAGAAAAAAAAACACACACACACACTGTAGGAATAATGCAATAACATTCAATGGTCAAGGAATTTTGCGTGAAACTCGTTTTTTAACAGCTTTAGAAATAAAAACACAAACGTGCACGAGTTATTTTTGTTTACAAAATAATACTCTCTACCGTTAGGAAAAATTTTTTTAAAAAAATTATATTTTTGCTTCTTTGGGATTCACTTTTTTTCTTGTTTCTCAAATTCGAAATTAAATCCTTTTTTCCAGAATTAAATCTTTACGAATTTTCTTCTCTTAGAATTTAAAAAAGAAAATAAAACTAAAGAAAGAAAGAAAGAAAAAAAAAGAAAATAAAAACAGATATTTATTTTTAGAAGTTTTGAATTAGAATTTGGCTATTAAAAGGAATTTTTTTACTTTAAAAAGTACAAAGTGCTAAAAGGGAAAAAAATAAATCGAGATAAAATTAATAAATGGGAAAAAAGAAATAAATTGAATCTTTTGCATCTATTTTGCTTTTTGCAATTGTTTTGAAACCGGGAATTTTTTTCTTTTTCTAACAAAATTTAAGAATCGAGATGAATTTACAGTGTGTGATGAAAAATATGTTCTCATTGTATTTTTGAAATGTGATTGTTTGGAACGCTATTCAAATAATTTCAATTTGTAACCATAACAACATCGATTTAACATAAATACTTACAGCTTTGCATTCCTATAATCAATAACTGATCAATAACAATTACAACATATTCAAAAATCTCTAAATATTTTCCAAATTTTCAATCTTTTTACTACCAAAAAAATTCATTTACACAAGGAAAGTCGATTTTTCAATCTTTTCACATTTTTTTCTAAGGGAAAATTTTTTTCCAACTTTTTCTTTACTTATTATCATTAATTATTATTACTTATCATTCTTATTTTTATTATTGTTTATTACTATTATTATTATTATTATTATTATTATTATTATTATTATTATTATTATTATTATTATTATTATTATTATTATTATTTATTAATATTATTATTTTTTTTATTTATCTTTTATTCACTTATTTTCATTTTTATCAATAAATATTATTGTTTGACGATTTTTACATACGTTTTTAAATATGATTGTTAATTAAATAGTTTATTGTCAAATGTAATTTCTATCATTTTTCCTAATTTTGAATATTCTAATCTAAATCTACTAAATATTTTTTTTTCTTTCTAAAAACAAATAATTTAGTCAAAAAAAAAAAAAAACAAAAATAGATTATTTTTTATATTTCCGTTTTTGTTAGTTATTTTAGAATAATAATGCACGACACAATTTTAGATAAATGATAAAATGTAGAGATAGGAACAAAAGCACAAGTCACAATTTTTGTTTACAGTAAAAAAAAAACACAAAATAATAATAATGTAGAAATGTTTCATGCAATGATAGTTGTTATTAATGTCTTTTTTTCAAAAGCTTTTCTCATAAATCTATAGTAGATTTTTTTATGCATCTCAATTATTTTTCTATCAAATTTTTAATTAATTCCATTAATTAATTCTATTAATTAATTTCATTAATTAGAAAATGCTATCATTATACCTTCCGGCTTGATTATTTTTGAAACAAAAAAAAATCGCCCTATTTTGAGGAATTAATGTTTAATTATTTTTTTCCCCTATATTTAATACTTTATAAAATTAATATTTAATTTTTTTGTTTCGGAAAAAACGTGTAAATTATTTTAAATAATTAAAAAAAATAATCTTGTTTTATTTTTAATTCTCAGTATCGTCAGACGAGGCATCACTTCAAATAATTGAGCTTACTGTGGAGAAGGTCCTCGAGTTAATCGAATCCGCTTATCCAAATCCAGTCACTGTTGTTGATTTAGCCAAGTAAGTATCGTTATTTTTAATTATTTTTAATGTTTCTTTTTTTCTTGTTATAACAATTACTGTGATTGGAAATTTCATTAATTGTTTTTTTTCCTTTTTTGAAAAAAGAAATAATTTGGATAACAATGACAGTGGGGGGTTTTTTTTTGAAAGTTTTGTTTTAATATTGAATTTTTCTATTTTAGAGATCATGGCTGGGAGACGTCCGCAGTTGAAGCAAAATTAATCGAGTTACAAGAAAAAGGAGTCGTAAAAGCGATGGAACATGGAGCTTTTACGAGAGTCGTTCACCAAGACACTCATGTCAAAGTAAATTGCTTTGTTTCTTTCTCAATTTCTTTGATTTTTCATTTTTTTTTCTCTTTCATTTCCAATTTTTCTTTAATATTTTTTTTTTGCTGCTATTTTTCATTAAGAGTTCTTAACAATAAAATTTTATTGTCATTGGGGCAAATTCTTTTTTTATTATTTGATTATTTTTATTATTCTATGATTATAATAATAATTATGATTTTTTCAGTAAATATAATTATTATTTTATTTGCTATTTTTCGTTAATAATTTTGTCATTTTTCAGATGATTTATTTTTTTATTATTTATATTATTCTGTGATCATTATAATAATAATTGATATTTTTTGCTAAAGTTTAGTTATTACAATTTTTATTATTATTTTTTAGACTTTGTTTTCATTCATAAATTAATTTAATCAGAAAATTTTTTTCAGACAATTCGTCATTTGGCAATTTTTGCTTCTTATTATCGTTTATATTTACTTCTTGTTTTTTGCTAGTTTGAAATTTTAATTTTAATTTTAAAAAATAATTCCAGGTGGTCAAACAAATGCCCACTATGGCCAGTTCGAAGCAACCGACAATCGCAATAATTACGGCTCAATATTGCGAAAAATTGGCAGTTGATTCGATGATTGAGAACAAAGAGACGTTTGTTCGTTACACGACAGTTGGTAAGAAAAATCTTTTCTATTTTCTTTTAAAAAATTTTAAGATTATAAATTATTTTATGATTATTATATATTTATGAAAATTATTACTATTATGATTATTGTTCTTCTTTATAATTTTCTGTATTTATAATTAATAATTCTTACTCTTTAATTTGCTAATCGAAAAAAAACTATACAGCTTCTTTTTGAAATCAGAATTAACTTTTTCTTCTTGCTGATATAAATCTAATATTTATATAAATTAAAATGCCATCGTTTAATTAACTTTTTTTTTGGCGGATATGTATTTCTTAGAGAGCTAAATTAACATGTTTATTTATTTTTGTTTAATTTTGTTAGAAACTTCTTTAATAAAATTTTAATCGAGCAATGCACGTGCGGATATTTGAAAAAAAAAGCATGAAGATATTTTTCATAGTGGCTTTTTAACTATATTAACAATTTTATACCGAAATATAAAAGTAAAATAAAAACTGAAATTCTAAACAAAAAGGCAACTCATGAAACTAAATACGACTAAATAAAAATAACTAACAAAACTATAATTCAAAAATATAAAACTTAAATAGAAAGATTCTAATCTAAAATATTTCCAAGTAAATTTCAGAAATTTCCAGTAAATAATTACTAAATTTTTACGAAAATGAAAAAATATTACGCGTGCACTGTTTGAAAAATTGTAAAAAAAAGCGCTTATTTTATTGGCATTATTGTATTTGCATGAAACTGTAGGTTCGACGAATTCGCCCGATGCCCCTGAGGGAACACCTCGAGTGACATGCCGTTTTGGTAAAGTAATCTGTAATATAGTTTTTAATGTTTTCTATTTGTTTTTTTTTTTTTTGAAAAAAAATTGTGTTCATCACGTCACAGCTTGATCATCGCTTCTGTCCACTTCTGTTCGAGGACGCTGGGTTGGGATATTGGATTGTCATTTGATTTTTGTTTGACTTTTTAAATTTTTGTGTTTTCAAATTTTCATATATCAGTTTGTCTTTAATATACATTTTTTTCAGTTTTATATTAGTAAATAATTAACTTTTTGTGCATATGTATTTGTTTGTGAAATTTCCATTTTTAGTCTTTTGTCATCAATATTGAAGATAAAAATAATTTTAAAACAATTTTATAGTTTTAAATTTAAATTGTATTTCAAATTTAAAGTCATTTAAGTATTTAAAGGTATTTAAGTTTTCAAGTCAATTATTTTAAGTCTTAAAGTATTTAAAGGTACTAAAGTGTTTAAAGTTTCAAGTAATCTTAAAATTAAAAAATAAAATTTGAATTTGAATATAAATTAATATTGTAATAGAATAAATAATTTTTCAAAATTGCAAAATTGTTTGGAAAAAATGTTTGAAATAATTTTTAATAATATAAGTACAAAAGGCCTGAAAATATTATTTATGGTTATTATTTTTTTATTCTGGGAATTTTGTGTTTGAATTTTTATCCTCTTTTTGAACGTCTCACACGAAATTGCAACTATTTTTCTCCAAAAAAGATAATTTCGAATTGTGCATAATTTTTGCAAAAATGAAAATCTATTCACGTGTAATTTTCATCTTCATAATTTACTTACATAATTTCAAACATCAATCACAAAATTTGTGAATTCTTTTTAGCACTGGAATTTAAATGTCCCTTTTTACACAAAAATTATCTGTTTCTCTTTTAAATGTCCTTTTTTTATTAAGGAATCAATATTGCATATTTTTCTTATTTGCATCGAATGAAATTGTTTTTTTTTCATATTTTAAAAGAAAAACACCGAAAAACACTGATCGAGAATAGATCTCTGATAGTTGCGCACAATTCACTTTTTTATGTATTTGTGTACTATACACGAAGTTTAATTAATAATTTTGAAAAGAAAGAAATATTTTTCGAAAAGTTTTTAATATTTCTCGTTTATTAATTATTTACAGGAGAATCGAACGTTTATACTTTGGGCAATATTGGAGGGCACAGAATTGTTTGCACTAAACTTCCAACTGTTGGTCATACCAGAGAAGCAATGACTGCCGCCGGAAATACAACAACTCGTTTATTAGGTAATTTTCTAAATTCTATTATTTTTATTTTTTTATTTTATTATCCATTTTCATTTATTTGAATAAAACCGAGACTAACGGTAAAGCTTTTTTTCTAAACTTTCAGAATTTAATGAATTTAATTATGAATATCGAGAAGTTTGAAATTAAAATTCTGAACGTGTTTAAAATTTAACAGAAATGTAAAATAAATACGAAAATTTTTTCAGGAACATTTCAAAAGGTGGACTTTGTTTTTCTCGTCGGAGTCGGCGGTGGAGTTCCTCATTATACGGATTACGTGAAACACGTGAGATTAGGTGACGTCGTAATTTCCCATCCGACACCACTCAATAAGCAATATGTTTATGTTTATTGCGAGAGCGCAAAAATGAACGAAAATGGAAATTATCATTTTGAAACCAAAGAATATTGTCCCTCGAATTTATGTCTTCAGGAGATTGCTGCCAATTTGAAAAATCAGGTGATAATTTAAGAATTAAATTTAAAATCTTAGAAACATAATTCAAAAGAATAATAATTTTTTAGAATTACAAAAAAGCAATAATTTTTTATAATTATAATTAAAAAGAACAATGATTTTCAGAATTATAATTCAAAAGAATTTTTAGAATTATAAGTTTTTGGAATTAGAAGAGAAAAGAATTATAATTTAAAATTAAAGTGTTTCAATTGAAAAGTTTGAATGGTTTTTGTTTTGCATTTAAAGATGTTAAATACTCGTTTAAAAAATGAAAAAAAAAACGGTTTACTAAAGGCTCATTAGTTCCAGCAAAATGTTAACATTTCCGCAATTTATTTTTTAAACAGGCCGAGAACAATCCAAACCCTCCCTGGCAAACTTACGTAGAGGAAGGATTAAAATCGTTGGGTAGTCAAACGGAACACGACTTTAAGGCACCTCCACCGGAAACTGATAAATTATACATGGCAATCGGTGACAAGGGCGTGATTGAAGTCGCACATCCCAGTGCTCCTCAGGACTCTTCAAATTTAAGGTAAGTGAAACTATCTTCTTTTTCTAAATTAGCCGAATATTTTATTTTCAAAGAATTTTCAATATTCGAAAGAAAATTCTTTGAAAAAATTGAAGAAAGCTAAAGAGCAAATTCAAAAATTGGTGTGGAGAAATTTTTTCTTCCCACTTGCTTAATAAATTGAATTAATAGGTATTCTGTTGAAATTTTCCGGTGATTAATTCTTATGATTATTGAATGAAAATAAACGTTTTAGAACGGATGGCTGTGCTCGCATTCATTTAGCGCCAGTTGCCTCCGGTCGACAAATTGCACGGGACGATCAGCTGCGACAAAAATTCGCATCCCGCTTTGGAGCGCTTGCCTTCGATGCAGAAATGGACGCTGTTGTTGAGAGTATTTTAGGCAATTGTCGCGATAGTTTTGCCGTTGTTCGCGGAATTTCCGATTACAAAGATGGTTCTCGAGTCAAAGAATGGCAACCGTACGCATCGCTCGCTGCCGCAAGTGTTGTTAAATCAATTATTTGCGCTATGGATCCACCCCTGAATGCTTAATCTAATACACTCCCCAAAAAAAATCTCATTTCCAAATTCTTTTTTCTCTACTCAGAATGTTGACGAGAAGAATGAATTTTTCTTTTTAAATTCAACAAGAAAAATTCATTTTTTCACAAATAATTCTGTAAATCTTCATTTACTTCGGGAAACATAATTTGAAATTGAGATTTTAATCCGAAAAATAGTAAAAATCAAATAGAATACAATGTATTGTAGAGGAAATTACTATTAATCGCAAAGGAAAAGAATTTCGAGATGAAATGCATGTGCCATTTTTTTTAAAGAATTCAACTCTTTAAATTTGTCGAACTGGTAATAGAAAAAAAAGAAGAAGAAATAGATTCAATGATGAGTTTTAATTTAAAATCTAAACTCTAATTCGATTCGATGTGTTTCGTAAAAAAAGTAGGTTTTTTGTCTTGATTTCAAAAAAGAAAAATGGTTCGAGAAAGAATTAAAAATTCCCTGAATTTTAATTAATATATTCCAATATACTCTGTAAGAGAAAAGTGATAATACGTAGAGAGTTAAATGTTCCGAGTAGATTACATTTTAGTTCCTGGTTTTTTTCTGTTAAAAAAAAAACTTGGTGCAAATAATTCTATTTTTTTATTCGATTTATAATTTTAGTAGAAATCAAAAATATGGAGACTTATTTGATATTTCTTGAATTTCAATTGAAAATTAATTTCAATTTTATTTTATAATTCTAAAACGTAAAAAATATTCTTTGTTTTAAGGGCATTTGAACCTTGATGACGTCACACATTCTTTGCACAATCTGTAACGTCATCAAGGTTCAAATGCCCTTAAACAAAAAAAAAAAATTATGATTTATAATTAATACCTACAAAAAGTATAGGATTTGTATTTTTTATTTCTATTTATAAATTATAATACAAAAAGTATGTTTCACAACAAAATTTCTAAATATTTGTTATGATTAACAAAAAAATATTTTTTGTTCTTTAAATACAAAAAGTGAATATTTTTTTTACAAAGCATGTTGAACAGAAAAAGTTCCAAAAAAGAAAATTTACAAACTCAAGAAATGTCATTTTTCTAGTCTTTAGAAAAAATATAAAAATGTTTTTATATTTTCTAAACAGTCAATTTTTGTCATTAATTATGAATTTTCTTTTCGTAATAATTCCTGCAATCGAAAATTCATAATTATTCCAATAAAAATTTTCAAATTCTTTGAAAATTAATTCTAACTATACTCTAATCGATAGAAAACTTTTGTTCCTTAAACTTTTGGTGCATTAAATATTAAAAATCCTATAGAAAAGTAATGAAAGCTGAATGTGCCAATGTGTTCAAAAATAAAAAAAATAAATAACGAGCAGACTCAAAAAAAAAAGAAAAAAAGAAAGAAAGAAAGAATCCATTTATATGGAAAATTAAATGTTTCCTTAGGTAGAGAATTTTTCTCACATTTTTTGCAATTCATGCACACACTCACTACTCAAAGAAAAAGAGAAAAAAAAGTTAACAAATTTTTATAGTCTAAAGCACAGGGTAGAAAATAATGACTAACTGATAATAATTGCAGTTTCCTGAATTTAAAAAGTCGACGCAAATCTAGAAAAATTGTTTTTTCTTTTTTTTTCTCTCTCCATTCGGAATATTATTATTAATCTACAAAAGACTAATTATTTATTTATTTTTTATGAATCACTGTTTGTGAATTAATTAATAATAAATGTTATTAATTTAAAGAAGTTTTATGTTAAATATAATATTTAAATTATTTTTTATTAATAACTAATAATTATAATAAAAATTATAATTATTACAAATATAGGTACTATAATTATCTATATTATTATTAGACAGAAAAAAAATTTATTTGATTCAAATAACCGATTACTTGACTATTATCAATTAAATATTTAGTTGAATCAAATAATTTTTATTTAAATTAATTGAATTATTTATTTAAATGAATATTTGTTTCAAATATATACTAAAATTATTGAATCAAATAAAATTTATTTGATTTAAATAAAAATTATTTGATTCAAGTAAATATTTAAATTTGATAATAAAAAAATAATCGATTATTCGAATCAAATAAATTTTCTCCAGTTTATTATTACTCTTATTAAATAACAGTAATTTAATTAATTAATAAGAATATGAAAGAAGATAAAATTTTCAAAGCGTCGATTTCTAATCAAATCAAAATAGTAAATTTTCACATTTATTAAATTTTTACGACATAACACTTGTTTAAATGCACACCAGGAAAGTCTTTGAAATAATGAGCAAAGCGATTATTATATAGATAGCTAAAGAAAAAGATAAAGAAAAAAAGAAATAGAATATAGATATATAAATGTAACAAATATATAATAATATATTATAATAGATCTATTAATATTGCAATTTGCAGTTCGACTTACCTGAAGAAAAATTTCTATTTATGGCCTAATTTTAAGTCTACATTGAAACGTATTATTAATTGTAATTTATTTATTAAATTAATATTTAAAAGAAATTTCATGAAATGGAAATAATTTCCTGAAATTTCCTTTTTTAACAATAAACAACTGTCATTCCGTCACAATTAAGAAAGCATAACAATAAAACTAGAGATAAAAAAATCTTTTAAAGATTTAAAAAAAAAACTGAAATTATTGATAAAATTTATTTGATTTAAATGAAAATAAAAATTTTTAATAAAAGTAAATTAAAAATTAATCAAAAATTATAAAAAATTAAATCAAAATTAAAAATAATTCTACATAGAAGGAGTGCAAAACAAAAATTTCTCTTCCTGTTTCAAAATGAAAAATTTCGAGCAAAAAATTGATTTTTTTTTTTCTAGTTGACAAATGACAGTGAAATTATTGTTTACCTGCTATACAAGCTATGATTGTTTTTAAATTATTTCTAAGGAAGAAAAAGAAAGTTTTTCTCAAAGAAAAGCATTTTTTTTTTTTTTTGCTAGATGTGCGTTTAAAAAATAATATCGCGCTTGACGCTAGTCCTATTCGTTTAAATTATTGAAGATAATTGTGAAAAAGTAATTATTTATTAATCGTATGTATAGGTACGTGAATTATTTTTGTTTTATAATTCACTTTTATAAACACAACAACAATGGCAGATTTATATCTGAATAATAAGGAACGCGGATTTTTTATACAATTTTATCGATTCCATTTTTAGTATTTTTAGTCTTCCAATGGACCAAGCACAAAAAAAGATCGACTGACTTTTGTCAATTTTTTCTCTTTTAATATCCAAAAAGCACCAATGGAGACGTTAAATTATTTTTTTATAATTAAATTTTTATTTTACTTTTTCTTTCTTTTTTTCGATTTTAACGACTGCATTTTTTTTAATTATTCAAAATTTCCCTGGAAAGCAAATTTGCAAAAATTGAAATGAGAAAAGATTGCGAAAATCTTTTTTTTTTGGTCTCGAGCAGAAGGTTTAAAAAATTTGAATTTAAAATTAAAATATTTTATCAATCATTTTAATAAATAAATTTATTTTAATTTTAATTTTTATTAAAAAAGTTATTAATTTAAAAATAAATTTATTTATTAAGATGATTGATAAAATATTTTTATTTTAAATTCAAATTTTTTTAATCCTTTTATTCGAGATCAAAAAAAGAGTTTCGCAATATTTTCTCATTTTTGTCTTCAAAATTTAATATTTAAAATTAATTTTCTCATCTTTGCCTTCGAAATTTAATTTAAAATTAATTTTTGCAATTTTTTCAAATTATTTAAATAAATTCGCAAATAAAATTTGTCTCTATTAGGTGTCGATCTTTGAAAGTGTTCATAAAATGTATAACGATTTTTAAATTATTATAAACGAAATTTATAAACGAAAAAAAGTATTCAATAGGAAATCGAATATCGAAAGAACGCTTGAATTTTCGGCTTTGTCGATAAAACAAAAAAAAAAAGAAAAGAAAAAGAAAAATGATGAAGAGACAAATGTTTTATAATTTTATATTTCAATCATTCCTTCTCTTTTTTATAATAACATTTATATAATTGTATGTGATATGTCATAATAACGAAAATTGTTCGTCTACATTATTACTATTTATATAGTTTGTACATTTCTTCGAAACTCTTTTTTTCCCATTCAACTCAGTAAACTTTGTATGTATCATTCATTATCCATTATTTGTCAAATAAACACTTAATGACAGGGAAATTATTTCGATTTTTAATTATTTTTTTTTACTCTTTTTTTTCATAAAAATTATTTTACCCTAAAATATCGATTTCTTATTTTTATGAATTTAATTTCTGATCGATCAGATTGTTTCGCAATTAATTTCAAGAAAAATGGAATATCTTCTCGAGTTAAATAATTTCTTAACGAATTGTTTATTAATTTCTCTTTGATTTTCGTGCATGGAAAATTTTTCTTCATTTTCCTTTTTGATTTGAAAAATTTGGGAAATAAATTTTCGTTCTTCCATTTTTCAGATCCTTTAAAAATAGTGTCGAGGGAAATTTCTTCGATTGAACCTTTTAATTTTTTTTTTTGTTGGGAGAAATTTAAATTGATTTATTTTGTGATCGAATGGTCAAAAGAATATTTTAAAAAATCTTTTTAATATAAAATACCTTCGGTTGAAGATTTTTGCAATTTTCTCGAGTCAAGAATTGTTTTCATCTCAATAACTTGTTGGATTTGTTTAATAGCATAAATTAGCATTACTCTATCTTGTTGTCTTTCCTTCTCGATTTTATCAATTCGACAATAATTTTCCTTTTCAGCAGTTTTCTTTTCTTTTAATGTTGCGAATAATTCCACAATTTCGTTAAAAGCTTCTTCTTGCTTTTTACTTTGATTCAAAACATTTTCCTCTTCCCACTGAATTTCTTTAGTTCGTTTATTTCTCTCGCTCTCCAAATATTCCAAAGATTCGAATTCTTCATTTACTAATTTTTCCAATTCCTCGATCTGGAAAAGTAAATAAAAAATTATAACCAAAAATAATTAAATTATTTTGTTAAAGAATAAAAATAATTAAATAAATATTGAATTATTAATTATGTATTAAAAAAATACTTAATTAATAATTATTAAAAAGTACTTAATTATTAATTAAATTAAACAGAAAATTATATTTTTTTACCTTTTTTAATGTTTGAATTTGATTTTCTTTAATTTGAGAAAATTTTTTAAAATAATTATCGTAGGATTGTTGAATTTCATCAATTTCCCTTCTTTGTTGTTTAAGATTTTTAATTATTAGTTGAAAGTTTGTAAAACAATTATTTTCCAATTGATGAGAATTATTTTCTGTGGAATATTTTATGCGACACAAAATTTCATCAGTCTTTTTTTTTAAAAAAAGGAAATTAAAATTAAAAAGTTTATTTCAATAATTACTTTGTGAAAAATTAAGATCTTTAATTATTTATACAAACTTTTTTTATTTCCTCGCTAATGAGATTCAATGCTTGTTTAACTTTACAAGAACTGAAATTTTTTCTGGTTTTATTTCTATCAGAATTTGTAATTTTCAGTTTAACATCTTCTTCAAACATCTAGAAAACGTGTAATAATTATACATTATTTATTATTAATTATTAATAACTATTCATATTAATAATTCTATTTTCATAATTGAAAATTAATTTTTAATAACTTTAAATTTTTTAATTAAAGTTAACTAAAGAAAGATTGTTATCTTCTTCCACCTTTAATTTTAAATAATTTAATTTAA